GCTCCACAAAAGCAACCTGTGCCTAGGAGGGTAAGTAAGTACTACCCTTCCCATGGCCTCCTTCATGTCCAGATGTGGCTTCTCAAGTCTATGGCCTCCCTTGGGTCGAACTGAGGAAATGCTTGAGGCCTGCAGTTGTGAAGTGTGAGGTTTCAGGCCTTGGTTTAGACCAGCTGGTAGGAATAGGAGAAATTCAGTTATGTCCACAGCCTTGTAACGAGCTGCTCTAGAAAGCCATAGAGTATATGCACAGATGAGAAAGGAGGGTCCACTGTGAAATTTTTACTACAGCCTCAGCTGCAGGTATTAGGCACAATTTGTTTCCTGCTCACTACCCCCTGAAGGCAGATTGGAAGGTTGCACAAAAGCTATCAGTTCCAATTCTTTGCTGCAAACAGAACCATTTATTCCCCAGGGCCCCACCAATCTGCCTGTCATATTATATGCTACAAGCAGAGGTCAAGTGCCCTAGAGAAATATGCTTGCAGAAGAGAGCTCGCTGAACAGAAGTTGTGACAGGACACATTGGATGCTAGGTAATACCGCTTTTTATTTTCTTTTCCTGCCTCTTTAGGGCTTGAAAGAGACAAATTTGACAATAAAACCGTGTCCTTTGAAGAGCACATTAAATTTGAGCACAATATGTGGAATTACCTGTACTTCATAGTGCTGGTGCGAGTGAAGAATAAGACTGACTATACAGGGCCTGAGAGCTACGTAGCGCAAATGATAAAGGTACGTACTGCATAATTCAGTATTCTTCCTCACATGGCGCTAAGACCTTTTATCTTGCAAAGAGACATTTTTAAGCAAGCAGGCCATAGTTTAAAACAAGGTTTCCAAGTCAGGTAACTGTACAGGAAGCTCTACTTTTTCCACATCCGATTCTCCAACAGTGGGGAATGGCATCATGGAATGAGACTCTCCCCTCTCCTCACCAGGCCCCCAGCCACACTCTTGTTCCAACAGGCAGCGTGTCTGTAAATTAGCTTTAGTACCTTCGTCCTTGTCCTGCCTGATGCCATCACTGCAATCCTTTCAGTGTCACGTCAACTCTCTCTCCTCTCAAACATTTGGCAGCATATGAGGCGGCCCTGGATGTTTCATTGTTGATAGTTACTGTTTTTAGATATCCATGTATCTTTCTCTGTGTGCAATCTCTTTATATCTTCCACACAGGTAGTTTTTATAATGTAATTTAGAGGTCTGATTCTTTGTAAACTGACCAGAGAGTTTCTGTTGTTGGGCAGGGTAGAAATGTAATAACCTGATAAAGTGGCCTTCCCAGTTTCTGACTTGCACTTCCAGTGAAAAGGCCTTTGAGCAGCTTTGGCTTCATTTTCAATGAGCAGCAGAGAATTTAAACAAACCATTCTGCTATTTTTATATGTGGGCTGAAAGTAAAGCTGCAATTCTATTCACTTTTTCCTGGAAATAAATGCTAGTTGAACTTATTTCTGAGCCATATGAATAGGATGGCACAATTGGTCTCTCAGGAACTACAGAACATAGAATTCGGGGATGGAAATGAGTTAAGCAGTATTTTTAATCACACAATTAACTACCTATATAGAGTTGTGTTCCTTACTAATGATGAATAATTTAAAAGTAGCTGGAAAACTGAAAAGAATATTCCAGAAAAGCATGAGGTTGGTTTAGGTTGAGAGTGGGGCGTTTTCAGCCTAAGAGCCAAATTGACCCCTGCCCTGCCCGGAGGGGACTGTTTGGCAGTAGTGCCTTGAACCATTTTCAAGTACACACTCCTTCTCACACAACCCCTTCTAGGTTAAACCTCCCTGTTTAGCATATTGTGATGGGGATAAAGACTGGCACCTCTGCAGCTCACCTGAGTGCACAGTTCCCAGTCTTCGTCCTCTGTGTCCCCAGGCTCCTTTTCTCAGCACTTGGCAAGGGAAAGCCCTTTGGGAGGTAAAATATCTTCTTGGGGAAAGGGGATGGCGCCTGAGTAAGAAGTGAGAAGGTTGCATGCAAAACATCCACGTTTTATATATTTGGGGCATTTCTACCCTGTCCTATACAAAAGTCTCAGGACATACTTGATCTACATGCCAGGCTGTTTTTCCCCATACCTGCCATAAATGCATTGTGCATTGTTTGGATGGGAGTGGGGTTCTTGGTCCATCAGTGTCACTAGAAGTTCAGATTGCACATTCCCTGCCTTAACTTGTTGCTCTTCCAATGACTGTTCCAGAACAAGAACCTGGACTGGTTCCCTCGGATGCGTGCCATGTCATTAGTTAGCAATGAAGGTGAAGGGGAACAAAATGAGATTCGGTGTCTGCAGGATAAACTGAATTCCACCATGAAATTGGTATCCCATCTCACTTCACAGCTGAATGAACTGAAGGAGCAGGTAACAAAAAATTCAGCAGCAGGGGGCTGGACTGTGTATTTTATATATAGAGTCCCAAACAGACCAAGAAAAGCAGCACATTTGGGGTTTTACAAATGTCAAGGAATTGGGCTGCATTTGCTAGCCCAACCTAACCATTATTTTGGAAAAAATGTATGAAACACTGATGCTTTTAGATAAAACACAAGACCTGCTGTGTGGTTAACCCTGACTTTCTCCTGACAAATACAAAGATTTCAGGATTGCATTTTGCAGTGCAGGGAATAGATTCAAATGGTCCCTACCATTTTTATGTGCCAAGTTCCCAATCCAATTCATGTTATAGTGATTTTCAAACTGTATTCTGTGGAGGATTTATGTTTGGTAGAAGCTAATCACAGGTTTCCTAACAAGCAGATAAACAGCAGGGGACAGGCTGTTCCAAAGGTATCACCTGCCATTACTAATCACCTTCTGAACTTATAGCTGCAGAGGAATGATGGTATATTTATATAGCTTACATAGAGTTTGTACGGCATGGCCAACATTATATATGAACAAAGGATATACCCGGGAAAGAAATGTCTTCAGAAATGTCTACAACATGTAGGTGTTTGTGGCATGCTGCCTTATCAGACAATGCACAAACAACTGTAGGTTTAATAAATAATGGTGTATAGGCTCAAGTGGAGGAGAAGCACCTTTGTACTTTTCCTTTTATGCATTTCAGATGACAGAGCAAAGAAAGCGAAGGCAGCGGATGGGATTTGTGGATGTCCAGAACACTCTGAACCACTGAGACAACAAAATCAGCTTCCCCAAGCTAAAACTGCACTTCCTGAGGATATTTGGTACTAGGTTCCCTGCACAGATTTCACTAGCAGGGAAAGTTGATCCACACCATGATGATTCACAGTATGGAGTCAAGCACCTCTCTTGGTTCATCTCTAGTTGGCTGATTGCAGGCACATTACTTAGCAAGAAAGAGACCCGAAGCAGATGACCGTGTGTGGATTCATCGTTTACCATACATTTGGGAGCTTTGTTTTCTTTTTAACTGTTCTAATAACGTGGGTTATCTTTCTTCATGCACTACACACTGATGGCTACCTATTCAAGTGCAAATAGGATTGACATTTATAGCAAGTAATAGTTTCTTATATTTTAATTTATTCCCAGAGAGCCCCATGGTAAATCAACATGCATGGATCTTTCTCTACAAGTTTGTCATCTCAAGTCCTCTGGAGTCACTGGCATTTGGGGGATTCTGATGCAATCTCACCAAAATGACGCTGTAAGGAAATATTTAAGTAGGAGATTGCCCTTTCACAGTGCAGCATGAACACGCTATCGATGTTCCTCATAAATCCTAGCCAGTACACTTAGGAGTCATCCTGTTTCTAGGCAAGAACTTGCAGAGCCATTTTATTTCAGCAGACTGAGGCAAAGTATCAGCATATTTTCACTGTGTCTAATAATCATCAAAATGGATAATGAATCACCATGGGGTAACAGTTAACATGTATTACTGTGGAAGTGGTGCTATGAGGATGCGGGGGAAGAAGACAGAAAAGGAATGGTTCCACAGGAATTTCATGTAGACTATATTCCAAGGGCTGCAATGAAAAATGTTGGTGGATTTTAACTCGGAGGTTCCCATGCCAGGAAAAGATGCCTCTCCCATCTCTTCCCCAAACATTTGTAATGCTGCACCATATGAAAAACCCAATGTGGGTTCGGCTTCTGCAGTCAAACCCAACTGTAGGCCAAGCAAAGGCTTATCAGGTACAATTTAAGGCATATCTGACTTTGTATGGCCACTTGGTTCACAGTGATACTGCTTGGGGAGACTAGATGCCCAGGAATGACAATCCCTTGCTCCAGGTAGCAGGAGTCTTTCCATTTCTTTTACTTTCTCAGCAAGGCAGTGTGTGCCTCAAGTATCCTGACTATTGTGCAGATTTAAGAGAAGAAGATTCTACTAATCAGGGGTCCAGCTTTGTTATTTCTCTTGCTCTGTTATGTTTTACAAACATTGTTTAAATTTTAATATGGGAACTTCCTGATGTTTTAGCACAGAAAAATGAATAAAAAGGAAAGAAGGTGAAGAAGTATTCTCTTTTGAGATGCTGGTGGAACTGCAGATTTGTCAGACACTAGTAGTATGACTCAAGGAATTTTCTAAAGAGCTATTGGATTACTCACAGAATTTTAGAGCTGGGAGCTACCTTGGAGGTAATCAAGCTTTATTCCCCCCCACCCCCCGGACAGTATATAATTGTAGCATCCCTGACAGACGGCTGTTAATCTTTGCATAAATATTTAGAGCAATAAAAAGTGAACTCCCAATCCATTTTTTTTTTTTTTAAACTTGGGGATTACATGAGCGGAGCTGGCTGGAGCCAGGGGTCACTAGATGACCTGGGTGGCTCCTTCTGACTTGCTTTTTTCTATGTTTCTATGAAACAAACTTTAAGAAAGCATCTGGAGAACCACAGCTGGCTTGTCTATTGTGTTTTCATCTACCTTTAACAAGGGCACAAGCTGAAATGGGTGTGCAGATAGTCTAGCAGAATAGCAACATGTACAGATTTGTTCTCTGGAAGAAGTCAGTTAAGGGCATGAACAGGAAGAGGCCATACCTATGTTCAGTATAATTTCCATAATGCTCTGGAAATATTTTTTTATTCTAAAAAGCAATCAAACACTATGTTTCAATCCATCAGTTACAAGATGACATCCAGCAGTGCAGTCTTTCCATAACCCCTACACCCATGTAATCACCCAGTCCAAGAACTTCAAGTAACTTACCACTGTGTTCTGCAAATCTAACCCAAGCTTTCCTAACACCTTCCATAAGCCAAAATAACAAAATGAGCTTTGTCCCATTCCAGATGATTTCTCACCAAGTCTTTTATCAATACCTGATCCACTAACCCCGAAAGAGGAATTGTTCTGAGTTGAGATGCCAAACCTGGATCTCTTGATTTAGAGTCTGACATGCTCATATGTAAGCTTATTTTAAAACTCCTGTTTCAAGAAGAAGTATCTATCCTGGCAAAATGCAGTCCTTCGTGAGCATCGATTAGGGAAAAGAAGTCATAATTTGGAATCTTCTTCAGGACGTTTGCCAGAGAATTTTTCACGTAACTTTGTCCATTTCCCTTTTGATGCTTCTTCCATCTGCTTCAAGGTATCTGCAGCCAGGGAAGGTGATTGGATAAAGAAACATGGTTTTTATTAAACTCTTGCTTCTTCAAGAGGCTGCTTCACACCACACATGGCAATTGCTGCATGTCTGTCACTATGTATGCTGCAAAAAGGAGGCACAGCTGATCTAGCTTCCTGGTGCATGTCTCTGCATAAGTCACAGATCTAATTACACACAGCTGCTCCTTTAAAGGTACAAGTGAAGACCTATAAAGTATAAAAGCAACAATCTGTTTCCATTTAGATGAATTTCTGTTTCACTGCCTGAGTTAAACTGGTTTCCTTTAGTCAGAACAGAATAATGAACCAGCAAAAACGCATTTTCCACACATACTGCAGCCAGAATAGAAGTCTGCTATTTAGCTATATGTTATTTCAAATGTGTTTTAAATGCCCTTTTCTCCATAAAGGCTCTTTGCAGAGACATGCAGTAACTACAAAGAATCACAGTATAATAGAAAACTCTTGAACTGTAACAACTGACTTTGAAGCTTTGTATAACAAGGAAAGAAAGTATCTTCTACTCCACAGAGATGATATGTGCATTTACTTTATTTTTCATATTTTCTTGGACCAAAGAAACCACTAAAGCAGGAAGTCAAACATCTGTTGGAATACTGTTGTCTTTCCTATAAGTGAATGTCAGCCTTTGAAGCTTATTAGCTCTGGGTCCACACATTTCTTCAAAACTGTGTGTCTCAAACACAGGGCAATTAAATACACATGATTTCATACCATTACTCCCTTCAAGACTGTCTCAGTACTCCTGTGTTGACAGGACTGGCACAAAAACAGGACCACGGAGAAACAAGTGGGCAGTAACAGCATGTTTGGGTAAACCTGAGGTATACAGAAGTTTGAAACATTCAAACATAGAGATCTCATCCCCTCCTTCCAGGCACAACCCAATCAGGCCTGAGCGTGCTTAGTGGTCTCCATCAGGAATGAAATGTTAAGAGCCAGCTGAGTGATAACAGAGAGAGAAGAAAACTGATCTGGCAGAACCCCTTACAGGATCCTGGAGAGGGGTATGGCTAGCTTCCTGAAATAAGGATAAACTGCAAGTTCTATTGTCTCCTTTAGCCCTGGGTTCACAATTCCTTAGGATGCAAAATTCCATTTACAATGGTATGCCATTATTGCTCAAGTCAATGCATTAACTCACAGACCAGATTTGCACGATTGTGATATGACTAACAATCCATGAATGTTTGTTAATTCAGCTGCACATGCCAGTTGCATGCGGGCCAGATTTCCTGAATTATGTTTATTGGGGCAGCTTGGCTTGTTTGAGGGGGTAGGATATATAAGGGTTGCTTCCCCACTGCACTAAATTAGCCATGTGGCCTTGGATTGGATGACATAGCAAGTTACACAGGGAAGTTTGGCCAGCATGCACAGCAGGGGAAATAAGGTGCCACAGGCTATTAACCATGCCTCAATAGTGCAGACTGGCCCAGAGTCACTGACATTCCAAACACTGCCCATGTGGTCCCTTAGAAGCTCCTTTAGCATAACTTTCTACTCATGGGAGACGTAGCTGGAAATGGCAGCTCCATCATGATCATAATGTTTCTGCCAATTCACATGGGATTTGGTGGGTGCATCATAAAGGTGGTGTAATCTTTCCTGAGAATAGAACAGCAAACTGATAAAGCAATAGCTAGCCTAAATACCTGTTGCAAGGACCATCTTGCATTCTTCCACTGTCACCCCAGTGAAGCTTGTATCTTTCAAACGTGGATACTATTCAAACAAACACAGAAACAAGTTATATATACACATATACCTTCTCTTTCACCCAAGAGTTATGCTCTTATTCAATTTTCTGATGCAGCAGTGCTGACAGTTGCATCATGATTGCTGAAATAAATTTATTAGCATATTCATCTACTACACACACACACAAATACTAAGATAGCACACACAGTAGAGAACATTAGGTAAACTGGCTTGTCTTTTCCTGATAGGAAAGGCTACCAACAGGATTACAAAACTATACTCAGAAGCAGCAATCGGATTTCAACACTGGATAACTAGCCTATTCCCACAGTGACAAAACTCACCTTGATTTTATAGTAGTTGGAATGGATTCTAGCTAAACTGTCAAACATTGCATCACAGGTCATCGGATCAGAAATCTGCAAAAAACCCAAAAATGCAATAAAGTACTTCCTTTTTGATCTTCGTATCTATTCAATAAAACCACCAAATTAAAAAGCACCCCAAAATTCCAATAACCTAAATTCCAAAGACCTACACATGCATCAGACTGTTGTGTCATATACAGTGGAGAAGTGTTTGCAGGTTAACAGCTCCAAAATATGCCAGAAAAGCAATGACATAAGCAAAACCCACCTTCTTCACTGCATCTAATCCAAAATGGTACCTCTAGTGGTTTCAGATGTACCAGACAAGTAGATAAAACATCTCGAAGTCACAGGAAGAGGTATACGCAATATGTCAACATCTAACATTCACATTCTTATTGTTAAACCATTCTGAACTACAGTAAGGGATGATCTAAAAAAGTTTTAAACAAATGAAAGAACATTTTAACATCATTGCCTTGGCCTTGCTGTTGACATAAGATGCTTAAGGGTGTTGTCCAAAGCCCTGTGTTGCAGATGCATGAAGCAACATGCAGTGGGAGAGACTTCTGCTGTCACAGCACCTAACATTTCATCTAGACAGACATTTTTGGCTATCTGGATGAAGCAGTGTGGAGGAAAAAAGCCTGGAACACCGACAGGAAATGGAGGAAGCTATTGGTCCCAGCCTTTTTCCCTTCTTCCCCAGCCCTCCTCCTTCCCTTTCTCAAAGGTCCAGTTGCGTCTTGGCAGCTAGTGCAGTTCCTTCTACACTGGCTATGAGGGAGATAGGGTGGGTCTTTGGAGGACCCAGGTCCGAATAATGTTTGGGTGACCATGGGATTAGGCCCTAAAACATTTGGGGAATGAAAGTAATTCCAAAAAATATATTTAATTACAAGAACGATCCCTGGTCCCTGGGTAGTTGATGCCCAAATGGAATTTCACTTCACAATCCACTTGCATGATCTATGCAAGTCAGAATATTATGACGGGGCTCTTCTTCCACAGTATGAGATATTGTCCAAAACTCAAATTAGGAAAATGGGATAGGCCACTCTCATAATCTTGTTATACATATTTTTGAATTCATATTGAAAACCCCTGATGAGGCTGCAGCTATCAAGTGGAAAGCAGAAATAGCACTTCAGAAAGAAAAAAAATACCCCAGCACATCTCATTTCACATGAATAAAGCAGATATTGGACTCACAAAATACCTTTACAGCTCTGATTCTGCTCTTTATGTATTCCTCCTGCCATTTGGCAGCAAATTTTTCTTGACTGTATCAAGGATTTTATACATACAAATTGATATCAGTGCTGCAAGCATCAATTTAAATTTATCAAAACCGAAAGGCAGTTTGGGGGAATTAGTGTGGTAGTCAGCTGTTCCAAGCACAAAAAGAAAGGAAGAATGCTTTCTGAAATAGATGCAGCAGATTGCTTTAGTGACAAAAGGTAACAGAACAATTTTCTGTGCTACTTTCAGAATGATGAGAAGATGTTGGCCCTCTTAAAACTGCATGTCTGTCACAGATTCATTTCCTTAATATTTTTAAAATATATGCTTTCCCTCCAAGGAGCTCATTACTCACTGATCTACAACTTGTACTCAGATGCAGCCCAGCTATTAATAACTTGGACTCTAAAAATTTTAAGCCTTAAGGGCTGAGCAAGTCATGTACCTTACATTTTAAAGGAACCTACGGCAGTTGTATCTCTTGCTCCAGTCTATATGCCACAGTGCCCCACTGGGAGCAGAGGAAGAAGTAGCTGGTGGAAAAATGGGCACTTCCACCTTTGAAACACTTACTATACCCACTGTGAACCATAGGAAGTCTGCTTTATAGACTGGGATGCCAGCATTGGTTCCTAAGTCAGACAGCTTGGTAAGAACACAGCAGCAGATGGCAACCCAGAAATGAGAAGCATCTGTGTTTGAACTGGCATCACGCTGGAGGGAAGAAGAACCAGCAATTTGGGGCTCCCTGCTGCAGCACAGGAAATGATAGGACAGCAGGGTGCAGTCCACTGACTCAGCTGAGACACCAGCGGCTATTTAGCTTCTTCCCTCCCTCCATTATTTACATTCAACTTAGTCTTCAAAAGAACTATCTAACCTTAAGAAGTGGTGCTTTAGCATGCTTACTTTCCTCTTCCCTCTCCATCCATTTTCTTTTTATTTAATGTCTTTTAGATTATCAGCCTTTGGGCATGGACTGCCTTGTTATCCTATACATGGAGTTTAGTAAGTTGTAGGCATTTAAAAGACGGTTTAAGCATTTTAAATAGGCATTCTTAAAGCACCAGAGAAATCAGTAAGCCTAGCTATGACTGGAATCAAGTGGCTAAAGACTTCTAGAAAGCTCCAGGTTGGATCTTGATGTCTAGTGCTTACATCCTCTGTCCAAGGAACCTGTACCCTCCTGCCCTTCAATGAGCATCACTTTATATATTATGGGGTGTTTTTTGTTTTGTTTTGAAGAGAGGGAATTTTCATATAGAAATTATTTCATGAAACCCACATGCAAAGCACAACATACAATGAGCATACATTGTGGCTTCTCTCCACTGGGAACTACCAAAAGAATTGTGTTTCTTCTTACAAGTGCATGATAAAATGCACCTTCCTAAGTACTCTCTTCTATACAACTATTAAAGAGACTTTAATATTAATATAAGACTTTAACTATTAAAGAGACTCTTGTGTCACCAGGAACACCCATAGTGTACTCCAATGACAGTGTCCTGAAGTTAGGGAAGAATCCATTTTTAAAATGTATGTAAGTGTTCAGAGAATAACAAGATCCATATATTTTACACAGACTTCATGGTGCACTCTGGGATAAGTCACAATATTATCAAGGGTCTTTTTTTTGCCCACCCTTCAATCATTTACTCCTGCCAGAACTCTTTAACAGCTGTATCAAATGGTTTACCATACTTGGGAGTAATCTAAGCTCAGAGTATGCTAAGGACATCCTGTTCTGCAGGCAGAAACCTCCCCAGTGTGACAATGGAAAGTTTCATCACAGTGGCTGACCCATTCCTGATGTCCCACAAGTCACTGGAGCCAAAGCAGGACAATCTGAGGGTATGTTAGAGGACGTTCTTGTTTTCTAACACCCCTCCAGCCCCAAGCAAGCCCACAACTATGCCAGATATGGAGCTGACATAGGTGATGGAAGGAAATGGTTTTAAAAAGCCAAGATGAAAAAAATGGGGGTAGGGAACGCCTCTCACCTCCTGCCCTACCTATTGTGAGTTGGCAGCGCTTTGGATGTGGTGGATGTTTCACCATGAAGCTCTAACCTGTCCCATGCCCAGTAACATTGCTGATTGCATTTAACCTTTCTCCACACCTGCAATGGATGTCATTTCAAATTTGTGGAGAAAATCATACATTTTCAGTGTTGGTACTCCACTTATAAGATCATCTTTTCACACAGCTTTTTAAAAAGACTGTGAAGCATCTTGCACATTAAGGATGCAATCCTGTGCACACCAAACAGCACATCACATTAAACAAAATACACTACTTTTAATACTAATACAATAATAGTTAGCATTTAACTAGACTGTAAAAAGTGTTTCACATATGCTATCTTACAACCTTTTTTTGAACTTTCTAAGGCAAGGCTGCAAACCCTGGATGAAAATTATTCAAACCAAGGACTTCCTGATTTGGGATGCAGGGTGCAATCCTACACACTTATATGAGATATATTTGCTCTACAGAAGAAAGCACTGAGACTTAATTTGAGTAATGATAGCATATTCTGCTGTAAGTATCTTTGCCATTGCACTGCAGCAGCAGAGGGCGAAAAATAGTTCTAGATCTATTGGTAGATCTTTAGATAATCTGGAACATGATTACTCCCCCACCAAAGTTCACCCCTCAATCCCCCTGACCTAGATCATACTGCTGAAATGAAGACAGTTTAGGTATAACAAGCACTTAATTTTTATGCAGGACTGTGAGGTCCATTCAGTACTGGAACTCGAAACTAATTGTGGGACTCAAATTCTTAGAATTCTACATGTACATCAGGCTCTGGTGGATGGATCTCAAGTTTTCAGCCAAAACAAAAAATCCAAATAGATCTTTCAAGCATGAAGTCTGCCCTCCCCTGCACTGCACCATGCATGGATAAGGTGGCTAGGGGACAAGAAATACAGGCTTCTACCTTCCACTGAATCAGACCACTGGTTCATATAGCCTAGTACTGTTAACAGAGACTGGCAGCTGCCCTTCAGGATTTTAGGCAGGAGTTTTTCCAGTCCTATTTAGAGAAGCTGAGACTTGAAGCGGGGGCCTTCTACATGCAGTGCTGGTGCTCTCTTTCTGAGCTAAGCCATTGTGTGGAGTTAAGGGTGCAAGAGAACAGGGGTGCTTCAACACACATCTTTAATAGTCAGCTGGGTGTACTATGCAGAAGGACATTTCAGCAGGAGTACGTTGCATGACGTGCTGTGTCTACTAATGCCCCCTCTGTCTACGCCCCTACTAAAACAGGCAGGAGCCCCGTCCGCCTTTCCGCCTGGCCATCCGATGCCCGGCACAAACCCGCAGCACAAGTCACGCGACAGCTACCATGCCCCCGGCGCGCTGTGCTGCTGTCCAAGCGCCAGCCGACCGCTCGTCCGGGACCCAAGCGGACCCCCGCGCCCACCTGCGTGTTCTCTCCCTCGCGGAAGGCCTGCGCCACCCGCTGCCGCAGGAAAGTGCCCAAATCGCGGCCATGCTTTGTCTTCTCCACGGGCCACTCCTCGCACAGCTTCAAGAAGCGCCGGTAGCGCGTCACCGCCATTTTGGCAGGCTCCTTCTCGACACCATTGGCGGGCGGATCACGTGGCCTGAACTGTGACGTCCGAAGTGGGGAGAGGCGTCTCTCTGTCTCTAGATAGTATTTGGTTGGTACGAAAAATAGATTGCAGCTGCGCAGAAAGGTGCTGTCAGACCTGAAGGACCGCAGAGATAATATTTGAAGAGGCACCTATCTTCTGGATAGGATGTTCCCGGGTTCCTACTGGAGAAGTTTTGGCGCGAAAGTGAGACCTGTCTGTATGAATGAAAGAAAAAATCGGGGTTTACACTGAATCTAGTTGTGACGGGCCCCCGGGCCCCCAGAGAAAGGAAAAGTAATGAAAAAGACAGTGCTAACTCAGGGCTACTCGAGTTATTAAACATTTGAACATCGAGACTTCTATCTCCATGGGTGTGGACTGGGAGTATGATGACACGAGTGGCAAACAAGTGAGAGTGTGGTTTACTATAAGACTGTAGTGTTATTCAGTGCTGATATCCCCACGTGGAAGTCGCCAGAGGGCGAGCTCCAAAAACTGTCCCTTCTTAATTCCTCGCAACCGAAATCCAGCAATCAGTTGCATACAGAATGTCATACGCAGTTGACTCGCTTGCAGACACGTTGCACTTCGAGATGATGATACGCTAACAAATAAGGTTGTGGCATAAGAAATAAGACCCGAGGTAGAAAGAGCGTGAACTTTACTACTCTCAGTTTATGGGAAGTGGGAAGGCCAAGGAGAGAGGGAATGACCTCGATCTCTGGATTGCACAAATGCAGTTCTTACAAATACTGAAACTCTCCATCGATTTCTCTGGGCTCCAATACCGCTCGAGAAAGGGAGAGGGGAGTCAGTTGATAGCAGAAGTCGAAATGATGTTATTTGACATAGTTTTTCTATCTGCAGCGAAAGCGAAAAAACATTTGCACATGCGCCATTAGGAACCAGACTGGTCTTTTGGGGATTTGCTGCACCATCGGTGTGGAGAGAAGACCCCAGAGCCGAGGAGGATGCGCATGCGCATAATTAGTCTTACATTTGCGTTGGGATTTCGTGTGGAGTCGATGGCAACTCACACAGTTCCCTCTGCTGCAACAAAAGCTTCCCTAGGCACTAACAACATTGCAGGGTTATAACCTCTTTCCCCTTCTCAGTGCTGGGAATAACAGCACTGAACTACACTGCAGGGTAATTAAAGCATGGTTTCATGACTTTGCTTCTGCTCTGAGATGGGCGAAAGATGACAGCAACACACAGTTGCCTAGTCACTGTTACGCAAAAGTTGTTTTTAATTTTTTTTTTTTACTATTTCTGACAAGAACTTAGTATTACAGCAAGCAGGCGAGGAGAAAAAGCAAGAAAGGTAACTAGGCAGTGCCTCTGATGAAGTGGGCTTTGCAATGCAGATGTCCAGGCTAACTTCATCTCAAGACAAGGCTTCCCCTTAGCAAACCTATTGAATAGTATTTGTCAAGGGCCTAAACCTGGAGGAATCTCCTAGAATGTATTTTAGAGCTGAGGATAAGCCATTGCCAGATTATCAGTGGACAAAACCCAGATCCTTCTGGAACCAACACCCAGGTAAGAGGAGGTGGGGCAAGGCCAGAGGAGACACCCACTGAAAAGGAAGTTGGAATTGCATTTCCAGCACAGGCGCTGCAAGCAACTCTCCCTGGCAGCAAGGGAGGTTGAGTAGCAACAGGCGAGATTGCACCAAGGTTTCTCTGGTCCAGGTGCCCAAGCATAGGTTTTTGCCCCAAAGGGAGGGGGAAGACCTGACACAGATACCAGGAGACATACTGGGACTTCAAGGAAGCAGACAGGTAGCTGTGCTAGTTTTCCCCATTTTTGTTAGGCTTTTGCCACTGATTTTTCTACTTATACAGGATTTATGAGCGACCTTTCACTTTTCAGTAATAGTCTTTTCCCAAGGATTTTGGAAAAGACGCTTGGTCTTCTTTTCCTAAGCATTTTGTCAACTACTGATTTCAATAGCTGCATTAAATGTATGTTTAAAAAGGAGAAAATGGAAATTCAAACGTCTTTCCTTGCCTCATATTCTTACAAGCTTCCAAAAAGCACTATAGGACTAATAGTAAAAATATGCCAACATTTGCCAGTCTCTGTTGGTGGGTGGCAACAAGCAAGACAGGTTGCTGGTTCAGCCTATAAGTATTGCTTGTTTGCTTCTACATTTCATGTATGAACCACATTGTGCTGTTTTGGTTCAGAACAGTCTTCCCTAACCTAGTGTCTTCCAGATGTGTTGGATTGCAAGTAATAATACCTTGTCCAAGGCCACTTAGTATATCTACAGATAAGGTAGTGGAACAAACCCAGATTTCCTCTGCCCCAGGTCTGTTCTAGGATTCACAGAACACCACTCAAAGATATCTTGCTAACAGCAGATTTTCATGCTCCATTCTCAGGGACCATCACGCTGGGTTTCCTAGCCTGCATTCCATGAGCAAAATCACTGAACTTCAGGAGTTCAAATGGGCAGATTCTAACAGAAAAAAGATGTTTATTTGGAAGTAGCCTTTGAACCTGAGTATAGTTTAGTTAATGTATGTGCAGAAGAAGAAAGTTAACTGAATGTAATAGACTTTCTCCACTATGAAGCAATTTTAGGATTGCAACCATTCTATGCCACTGGATACATGTTTATTCCAAAGAAGGTCTGAGTGCAATGGGACTTACTACAGAATAAGAGCTAATAGGCTTGTAGCACAATTCTACACATGGCTACTCTTAAGTCCAGTTGTGTTCAGTGCAGCCTTAATCTACACATCCAGTTAATTTGTTTTTCATTCTCTTCACTCAAAGATGTATCTACATGCTTAACTTGGGGGAAATGGTTGGTTATTCTATATTATGTAAAATGTATTGATGTTATCTAGATTTTGGCAGAAAATTGACTACATATGCATTACTAATTTTTTGAGGTTGAAAATAATTTTTAAATTAAGCCTAAAAAGAGAATGTATATTCTATAATTAGTACAAATGAAGACAAGACCATTTGTGTTAGGAGACTTTGATAGCTCAAGCAGAACTGCTGTAGATGTTTGCTGTCAATTTCATATTAGTGGCATTTGGTATTGTGAACAACTTCTAGTCATTTCCTGCAGCTGGGTAACAGACTAAGTGGAACATGTATTTGGGCTAATGATTTAATCTTCTTGTCACAATGTATGGTTATTCACAGGCAACTGGTAATAAATAGCTAGTGCAAAGAATTCTAGAAGGCCTGGTATTTAAACTCGTGGAGACAATTGGTTTTTACTGCTATTATGCAAATGCCAACAGATCCTTAAGAAATAGTTTAAAGGAAATGCAGACACAAAGCAGTCTTTTACAGAGCATATGTAATTTATTTACAGCTTGACAATCCCATTTGTTGTTGGGCTTTATATCTCTATTCTATATTTAAAAGCATTCTAACAGGTTTCATGTGACATAGGAAGGAATCTACTATTTGGTGGTTTCATACTTACAACAGTCCATTTGTAAACATTTTGTGAAGTTTTTGTGACTTTTGTTCATGCATGCAGCCCCTCCTTCCCCACACGCATATATACATGCACAGAATATAATATAAAACTTTTAGATGAGACTTGGGCACTCACCCTGGTATCTGTGCACTCATATCTGTCTCATTCCTTAAACAGAATGTCTCCAGTATAAAATGCCATGGTGTCAACCCTTCATGACTGCCATTTCACAAATTTAGAACCTTCTGTGTAACAAGTCCTTTTCCAGTTCTTCCATCAAAGACCTACTTTATTCTGGGAGGAGCTGGCTGACATCTGCCGGCTTCTGATTTTGGCATTTATTGCACTCACTCCTTTTGACTGACATGTACATTTCCAGGAGAATATCTTACCACACACACCGGCATGGTGTACAAAGGATCAAAGAATTAATTGGCAGTTGCATTTTTGAAGTGCCAGTCTTTTGTGACCAAGCTTGTGAAGGATGGTTGTCATCTGATTGTGTAACTGAAAGTCCTTGGCCCATCAAACTGAATGAATTAAAATGTAAAGTTGCAGGTTTTTAAGGACCTGCCAGCCTAGCTACATAATTCTTCTCATGAACACAGTATCTGCTTGGCCCCTGTTGGCCTTGCAAGTCTAAATGGTGCTTGAGGAACAAACCCTTGTCTCCTAAAATTCCTTTCAAGTAGCATTTTCTTCTAGCTCTTACCTGATACCAATGGACAACATTAAAACCAGAAAGGAAAATAATCTGACAGATCACAGATATGATGGATTGTCCAATCTGCTGTGGCATGTAGCATCATCTGAGCTTTTCTTCACAAGTCATCTACTTTAGCCTCCCCAAACAGTACATGTGATGCAGTTACTTGGAGGGGGCTTTCGACTATTGGCTCAGTGTGCAGGTTTTTGCCTTTTACAACCATAGAGTCTCTTGTCAGTTCAGCAGTTGTCATTCTCCCACTGGGATGCTCTGAATAATCTTTATTAGGTTTTCTAGACCAAAAATATAGCCATGATCTGGTCCATCATAGACTGTCTGATCATACTGTGAGCCCTTGTAGGTTGTATGTGCAAAGTCTATCATGCGGACATCAACTTTAGGATGGCTGTTTCCAAATGAAACGGGGCAGTTGGTATTTTGACAGTGCCCCTGAGGGTGATTGTCTGAGGGCATTGGCTTTTCTAGTCCCTCATAATTTATGAGAAGTGAGCTGGAGTAGAATCGGTAAGAAGTCTGTTTTTTGATGACAGATAGCAGAGCCTTCAGCTGAGACACAATGGATTCCACAAGGTCTGTTCGGAGACGATTTCCATTGTGAAGGAACTGGTAGAGGGCCTGCCTGAAGCCCTCAGGTGAGAGTTTCCGTCCATAGTACTTATCTTTGCAGAGGTACTGGAAAGTGTCTGCCTGGTAAACCTTGAACAAAAAAGAACAATAATTACTTTAGCCATATGCCTTGTAGGCTGTAATTTGATAAGTTATCTCATTTAGGTTATTCTGAGAGCCTCAATAGTATAGTTTATGAGCGCATCATAAACGTAATGCATTTATCCTTAGCCTTGCAAGGAAAAACAGAACTAAAGGTGGGAGAAGTTACAAGTAAGTTGGGATGGACCAAGATATTTTATCCATTGTAATTCATAACATTTTCATTTATTATATTTTTATGCTGCCATTCTTCCAGGATGTAAAGAGCAGTGCATTCTCCTTATGTTCTGACAATAACCCTGAGAGGTAGATTAGGCCGAGGTAGTTAATGCCTCCCAGGATACCCAGTGACCTTCCTGAATAAGTGAGCACTTGAATCTGTGTCTTCCTGGTCTACATTTGACCACTGTTCATTACATCACACTGACTCTGTTGCAACAACTTTTTTTCAGCATTTATAGGTAAGAGATTTTATCTAATGCTAGCTGCCAACAGACCTGTTGTCATGTAACTCTCTTCCTTTGAAGTTATTCTTGAACTGTAAAGCTGTGCATGATTTTAAGTCATGCATTTTACAGGGGGTCCAGATCATGTTGTCTCCCCTTTGTAACCTTCCTGTCTCTTCCCACTATTTCTTCCATATTTTTTTCTTGCTACCAAAAATCCATTATGAAAGGAAAGAAAAAGCTATACAATGTCTTCTGGCTGTTAGAGCTAGGAGCTAGAAGCACCCCGAGTATGCTGTGGCAGTTACAAACACTTATGGCCAATTGCCAACTTGCTGCAATTGTTCAAACCATAGGACAGCTTTAAGATAGGTGCCAAGCACTAGGGACCTCCAAAGTAAAGGACGATTCCCATAGTCACAGCTTCAATGGATCACAGAGATGGTGACAGGGATAGTATACATCAACCTGCAGGTTGCATGTCACTTGAGTTGTGAGTTGGAGCAGTTATTCCCATGCTTGTAATTAAACCAAAACACTCCTGTGCAACTTTTCATTTCTATGGAGCTATATGATCTATAAAACACTAGACTAGGTGGGACCTAACTGCTACTATTGTACCATATTTATGAGCTCTGCCAGTCTATTAAACGATTTTTAGTTGATGACTGTATCTCCCTTTAGATTCCCCACCAGTTAAAGCTGTTCATTGAAACAGCTGATAAATCCATCAAAAGAACTGCAGCTGTGGCAGGTTTGTTTATTGACCCATCCTTATTTTTCACCTGCAAAGGAGCTATGTTGTAACCTCATGCCTTTCAGATGAGTTTGACTGCAATGCCCTAATTCCTAGGAGTTGCAGTCCAGCACATCTGGAAAGTACAAGGTTGGAGAAGGCTGTTGTAGCCTTTCTTAAAGGTGGAGAATAAGTGTAATGCAGATCCATTTAAATAACTGGGTTTTTAAAAATCTGTCACCTGATTTTATTCGAGAAAGTTTGTTATGATACAGTGGCTTGTCTTTAGGTGCTATAGGATTTTTGGTTGTTTTTGGTGCAGGAGTCTAACACAGCTGATCAATGGGGATTTTGTTATCAAGGGAGGTTGTGGCCTCTTCCACACTAGAGGCATTCAGGATGCAACTGGGCAGTCTTCTGAGGGTGATGGTGTAACTTGGTGTCCAGCATAAGCAGGGGGATGGACCCAGTGGCCTTTCAACTCTATTTTTCTATGATTCTATGATAAGAGTAAGAAGACCGCATTCTGTTTTTGGCAAAAAGGTGTAAGAATGTTATTTTAAAAGCTATAGTATTTAGGACCAGAGAGGTTCTTTTTACTTTTATATTTTAGACGACTCCTATGAATCAGTAAACATTCCAGGTTTATTCTGTCTCTCTCCCTCTCTCCTGCTCCCTCTCTCTTCTTTTTAAATACAGGCCCAGACTAAAGCAGAGCAGTTTGGATGTAAAATCAATAATGTCTTTCCTACTGGCACTATGCTCTGTGTTAGTGTGCATTACAGTTTCATTCTGAGCCTTATTTCTTTATACCATTGAAGAATGTGCTCTCTGATGGGAACACTATGGACTTTTTCAAATAAAGAACAGTAGAATGAGTTCTTTTTACCTGCATGCCACAAATACGGACTCCAAGGGATGCTGATGTACTCTGTTCACATTTCTTTATTTGCCGTGCTTTCTTCTCTTCTGATGCATCATCACCATGTTGCCTGGTTCCCATCTTTAAATCCAAAATGCATGGATACTTATACTTGGATACCACATTTTCAAGCAATAGAAATTCTAGATGCTCAAGTTAAGGAAATCTTAGACTTACTACTGAAGTAAAACTTTGCAATTTATCTTCTCTGGTTCCCCTGACTATTCTCTTAGTATCCATCTCAACGCATTTATCTTGGCAGGGATCCACAGCTTCAGAGGTATCTGCCCATCATTTTTGATTTCCACTAAAGGCCAGTGGAGGATCTCTATGTACAGAGGTCACCAGCTGATGCATAAAGGTTAATAGGTAGTTCTTATTACATGACTGGGCTTTGAGATGGGTATCAGTGGTTGACTGCCATGAATTTTGGACAGATTTTGTGTATAGAATCTTTTCTTGTTTTTCTTGAGCAATATATAGTAACATTGAAAGGAAAATCATCACAGATTCCAAATTAGAGTAATTCCTCTTTTTGAATCACTTAAATCTGAATGCACAATATTCAAATACACTGGAATATTTGGATTATATGAGTGCAAAGTGCCCCTTTTGATTTTTTGAAACCTGAGTTCCCACACATGAAACTAAAAAATAAAATTCAAAATCTAAGAGAAGCAAATTTTGTTTTCATTTGTTTCTTTCCTTTTTCAAAATAGCATGTTACAACAGAGGACATGTGCTATTGAGCAGCCTATAAATAGTATGTATGTATGTACAAATAAATACAAACTCCTGTGCCACAAGCTTCTTTGCTGGTTTTCTGCACAGCTTCCTCTTTAGTAATTGTCAAATGGATAAATAAATTTGCATCAGCAAAGCAAAAATTCATTTGTTGGTATTTTAAAGTTTATAGATAGGATTTGCAGGGAGAATTAAGCTACTGGCAATATTCAGCAAAACACTGTTGTGACTGGCGGGGCAATTGTGCAATCAGCTGTAAACCCCATTTAGTTCAATGGTGCTTACTCTCAGCCACATGTGGATGGGAGTGCAGCATTAGTCCCGGTGAAATTGTGAACTGCCCAGAGGGCTTTGGCTCTGCTGTAGTAATGATGGTGATAATACTGGCAGCTGTTCAGCAGACCATGCATCCTATGATGTGGGTTGTGTTGTGATCATGTCTAGGAAGACTAGTCTTCCTGAAGCAGGCACCCTCCAGTTGCTTTGGATATCAACTCCAGCCAGCATGGCCAGTTGTCAGGAATGATGGGAGTTGTGATCCAAAACATCCAAGTCAGGTATAAACTACCCATGATATATGTAGATTGTTATGTTTATCTATAGTTAAAAGTTATACTGCACTACTGGAAATTCTGCATTGCAGCCGTGGGGTTCTAAAATGCAGTCTGATGTAACAAGAACAACCAAGAAAAAGATACGATGAGGTTTATTCTCATTATGCTTGGAAGACATGCGGTTTAAATGCTGTTTGTGGCAGTGCAGTCCCCAAGGATTAAAGTTTTTCTTTTCTGCCTGGTTCCCATTGGCATCCTTCATAAGCGCAGGCACATCTCTGTGGTATTGGAGGTCTGTCTGCAAGAGGGCTTTTCCTTGGCAGCTAGGCACAATATAAAAAGAAAATGGGTTAGCCAGTTAACTATTTGTCACTCTGAACCAGAAAAAACCATCTGTACTCAGAAGTAAACCCCAGTGATGGTAGTGGGGCTTACAGCACAACCAAAGCTGAACAGTTTAAGCATAAGTTACTTTGTTTTCAAGTAGGATTTGCTGTCCTAAAAGTGCAATGGCATGCATGTTTAGGTAGAAGGACACTCTATACCTCCTGACTTCCTCCAGCCAATATTGCTCCTCAGTCACAAGGAAGTATGCTGAGCATTGTAGTCTATATCCCATTAGCTACTTTTAGATATATGCAAAATATATAGTTCACCAAAGACTGGCAGTGACTCTTGAGTCTAATAACATTTCTTTATCTTGCAAATTAAAAGCACATAACACAACCAGTCAACAGTTATAGTAGTGAACAATCTCACAAATGACCCAACTCTAAACTGCAACCATGTGTTCCATACGGTTCCTTCCAAACAATTGGTTCTTCCCAATCTCCTCTAATGTCTTACCTGTTCAATGTCTTCTGTTATTGTCTTCATCACGGCTTTTTTCAGAATCTTTTCTGCTCAGATCCCCATGACCACCTTTTCTCTCTCCCTGCATTCTACACTTCTCTCCCTGCCTGAATTCTCTAATGTCAGAGGAACAGGGATTGCACAAGAGGAAAGGGCAGCTTCCATAAGGGCATAACAAAGCATGCTATTCTCTCCTAGGGCAGAGTTCTTGGGGAGGGCCCTGGAGCTCAGGGGAGGAGCATCCGCTTTGCGTGTTCAGTCCTCAGCATCTCCAGGGAAGGCTGGGTTAGATCCCTGCCATAAAACTTGGAGAGCTGCTTCCAGCCAGACAACACTGCTGGACTGACTCAGCTTCCTGGTCCTTTGTCCCTGCGCAAAGTTTGCTGTTCCTTGGGGCCTTTTCATCTTGGAAACTTCCACTGACTTGGGCAAGGGCACTGTGACTTTTCTTCCTGCACTAGGGAAGTTTTCCTGGAACTTCATTACAACTAGGATGTAACAGCCCTTGCCTTTTTTTTTTTTTTTTTTTTTTTTTTTAGGTTTTTTTGGCCTTTTTTTTTTTTTTTTTTTTTTTTTTAGTGTTCAGGCACTTCTGGAGTGATTTTTTCCTCTTGCACTTTGTTCCGACACAAATTTCCTTAGAAATGAGTGTCTTTGATTTCACAAGTGTTTACTTCTGCATATTCATGGAGCCCCCTTCCCCTGGGGCTCAATAGCAGATGCCATGGGGGTGGGTGGGATTTTTGTTCACACAGGGGCAGTAAGATGGGGAGTGCCACAGTCTTGATTCTCTCCCCCCCCCACACCTGTGGTGGCTAATTATATGTAACAATGTGCGCATTAGGCATGTGTGCAAGTAAAGACATGCCTTGCTTTGGTCCTTGTAGTAGTTCTGTTAGCACTCAGCAAACTCTAGGGGAGGGAATTGCTGAAACTCCAAATCCTGCATCACATATAAACCTTCACATAGACTTTTTCCCTTTGAAGCAGTGGTGCCCTACAAATAACTAATAGTACATAGGTGGGCAGGTATGCAGTCTAGTAATTTTCATTGAGACAGTCATTTTAGTGGAAATATTTCCATGGTTTGTTTAAATTATGATAATAGATGAAGAAAGATGGCCCTTGAAGAAAGTGTGTGCTAACTTCTGGTCAACTGCAGAAGATGCATATGAATTTTCTGCCGAAAAGAGTGCTCTTACATCAATATAAAAGCAAGATGGATTCCAATTGTTCTCACTGCATCCTGTGAGATATAATGCTGCCATATACAGCTCCTATTTCTACTTGGAGTTCTTGCCCAGTGCAAGGTGAGCAGAACCAGAGTTCAATCCAGACACAATCATTGCTGCTGTGACACACCTGAGCTTTATGTAGTTGCATATTGTCAGTTGTGAGCTATTTACCTGTCCTGGATGGTGTTTGTGAGTGAGTCATGATTCCATTTGACAAACGTGTGGTCGCTATTGCTGGTGTTTGCCTGGTTGAGCTTCTGCCATATCGACTTCGAACACTCCTTTGAGGTATTATCCAAGGAGTTGTGGTTATCTGTCTGTGAGCAGGCTATGAGGCTCAAATTGCCCATGCTGTCCTTCTTGAGACGCACAGAAATAATACCTTTAAAGGAGAGAAAGAATTATGGAGATGTGAGAAAACTTGATCTCTAGGCAGTTTTACCTCTGTAGAATAGATTGGAGACAAGCTGGAAAAGATGGTTCACTATTTTTATTTTAACAATCTTCATAGTTTATTTCCACTTGGAAACTCAGAAAATACTGGTTTGCTCCAAACTACTTAGTTAATGAATTCAGCTGGTGATACTTTTAGTTCACTGTAGATAATTTGTGAACTCATTATCCATGTTATGGAAAAACAAGCAAATTACTGTAGTTCTCTTTGTTGAAATGCTAAGAAAACAAGTGTTAAAATACCTTTCTCAAATTAATTTCCTCCTCAAAAAACAAAACAAAATCAAGTAGCAAACTCATAAATTATGAAATCAGTCCCTTTGCCAAGATTACCAATGGTAATTATTTCTAAATTCATCAAATTTGAACCTTGATTTGACCATTCATCTCAGAAAGGAATTCTGCAAGCCCCATGTTATCTGGGATTGGCCATTGCTCTGTTCAGATAATGTATCTGCAGAAATTATATGAATGCATGGAATAGAAGTTCTGTCATACACATGTTAATCGAAAGCTCTCTGCTGACCATAGATTCATATCCTTGGAAATGTGTGAAAAACTTGTGAAGGCATTTGTAGCTGGTTAGGAAGTTACTGACAGTTCAAACTTAGTTCTATTTAGATCTTTGACTTTGAAGAGTTGGATATGTGTCTGTCATTCTTTGGAAAACAGCCCTCAGCCTTTCTGAAATACCTTTATGTTACATTTCCAAGCATCATCTCCATAGTTTACATGAGATCTACTTGGTATGCAATGTTCTTGCAATGAAAGTTTCCAAGTTGAACCCACTGGAGCCTGACACTGAATGCCAACGTGCAGGACCCTAGAAATATGGCCAGCTGGCAGTCGGACTAGACATTGTGGTGGCAAGATGTGTTGGAATGTTACACGTGCCACATTCCTATGAAGCAGGGAGTGGATGATTTAAAGGACAGCATGGACACATAATGGTGGATTGCTCCTCCAACCTGTCCCCACTCTGAGTTGGCTCCTTCCAGAACAGCTTTTTTTGAAAAATTCCCAGTGGGAATTACTTCCAGTCCTGGATCTGCATGGGAAACAGCCAGGGAAGGTGTTTCAGGAAGCTAACTAGAGTAGCCAGCTTCTTACTGTCAAAAGAAGAGGAAACACATCACTAAAAAAAGAGGACATTGATTTGAACAGAATGTGCATGTTCTAATTTGATATACAGAGGTAAGACTGTAAGAAAATCCTGTACCTTAAATAGAAAACGAGGGAAAGCATGACTAGGTTTGCTCTGTTCCTGTTCAGTCCACTGTCTAGAAGCTGACTCTGGATGGGCAGTCCTAAGACTACAGCTTTCTCCTCCTGCTGAGGTTTCTTTATCTTTAAATCTGACTTGGACTGAACAGCCCATCAAAGAGGATGCCTTCAAAGAGAGGACTGTCCTCTGAAAGCAGGAAATGTGGCTATCCCGTGCAGCATCTACTCCGAGCCCCTGCTTGATAAGGATTTGGTAACAATTTTATTTTAAGATGCAGGCCTGCAGGCTTACACAGGTTTGCCCAGGGAGCTTCATGTTACGTAGGAGGAGATGCTGAAGCTACTTTGGTTTTTCACAGTGTCGCAATCTCTATCTGAAGGAAAAGGAAAAGCCAGAAGTGGCAATCAAATAAAACACAAACCAGCCACCCTAGAAGTGTTCTTAAAAGTTGCCTTTTCTCATCAATAAACAGCACTAAAGAAGTGGTAAGCAGCCTTATTTTCTACCCGTAGCCTTTCTTTTATTTCTAAGATCTGTTCTTTGCTTCTTCCAAAATAGACTGCTCTTTCCCACATTACTCAGATTTCACATATGCCCTAAAATAAAGCACTGTGACAAACATAAGTGGAGACCAGCTAGTCAGAAAGCAGATCTTGTTGTTGGAATACCTTAGAAGAGGATCTTCCAAAGAGTGATGCCTAATGAACATGACGGTATCCTATCAGAATAGCCTGTATTATTGTTCATTTGTTTATTTGGGTTTCATCTGGTCATTTCCCAAGGGCCCAAAGCCCAGAGTAATTTACTGGCAGACTTGCTGTTCTGATGCCTAATCCTCAACTGCATTATGTAGTGATGCAGCAGTTCCCGTCTAAAAGTTTGGATGCTGAGCAGGCAGATGTTATCCAGACAATCACAAACCAAGAAAAACCACAGAAGCTGTTTTGTTAAATTAGAGCCCTGCATAAATGACAGTCCTAGTGCAGACGGCTTATTGGCAGTGTGCTTATTTCTCCTCCCTGTGTTCTGTATGGATCCTCACTAAAGGCAGCATCCATGTTGGGCTATCTTATGCAGAAACGACACTTGCAATATTGACTGCTCCATATCCCAAGGCAGAAAAAAGGGCAATAGAACAAGAAGAAGGATGGGGTGGGGGAAAGAAGTCACAAGGCTATCAGGCATGATTGCAGGGTTAGATGAATGCCCTACCTGTAACGATCACTAGGATTATTGAGATATATGAGAATTTTACTTGTCTGATTGATTTTACATTGCAGGAATATATTTTACCACGCTGTGAAAGGAAACTCCTTGTATGCTCACTCAGTAGTGAAATGAAGCTACAGCAGCATCCCTGTGCAAAAGCCTGCCAAGTTAAAAAGACAAATATCCACCTTTCAGTAGCAATATTGCCTTCACCACTGGATTTTGTAACAGGACATCTGGACAGATAGTGATGCCTATTGGTGAAATCCACACGTGGGAGCAAGAGATGACTGAGTGCACCTCTGACTTTAAAATTTTGATTTAAATTATTAAAACAAAATGTTGCACTGCAGAGTGTTCATGGTCATTTTTCTAGCCTGTCAGCGCTGTCTCCTGCAAGATTTTCCATTCCATCCTTCCTCTTGACAGTGTTTCATTTTTACCCCAAACTCTCAGCAGCTTTCCATGATTACTTGTGTGGGATGGTGCTGTTCTCCCCTTTGAACTTTTGAAATAGAGGAAATGGTAAAATCGCTAACAAAGTTTCCTGCTTTGTGGGAAGCCAGCCTGGAGGTGAGAGTCCCAGGGTGGTGAGATACGTAAAGAAAGTGTGCTTAGCATGCACAGTGCAAAGCTTCAAGGAGCATCCTCCCTTCTTATGGTGGATAGCACCAGAGGGGTGGAGGTGGTGCTCCAAGGATCTGGGGCTTGTATGGCTGGATAAAGCCCTGGGCACCTCCCTACTGGGTGGACACCTGGCCATATATCCCATACTGTTAAAACAACCAGTGGCGGAAAATGAACCAGGTGAAGCTTCTTGCGCAGGTTTCTTGCTGGGTCCTTTTGTCTCCTATGTATAGCAAGATGCATGTGAAGGTTGGTGGGGGAAAAAGAAGACAGGGAGGATGGAGGATGACATAAGTGGGAAAGTATCACTGCCACCCAGTTATCTGTAACGTTATCTGCATTTTAATGGTACAGATCTAATCTCTGCATTGCAACAGAGCAACTCAGTCCAGAAAAACAACCCTGCTCCATCCAGTAAAGCACTCTGCCCGCCAGCAATGCCCCTCCCCATTGCTTTAAAGACACTCACATGGCTGAAGGGCCAGGCAACCTTTTACGTATTTACTCCTCTCCCAATAAAGCCTGTGTGGCCACAGTTGCAGCCCCCGCAGTCTCAAGTGACAGGTTTCTTTTGGGCATGGCTTGTAGATGGGGCAGCTTTGACCTTTTGGTGACAGGCTGATGACAGAGACACCCTTCCCCCTGCCTTCTTCAGGCCATCCCAGGCCACAAACAGTGAGCACTGCATTCCCAAGCCTGATCCCAAGCCTGCCTTCCCAGGACCTGCATTCCCAGGTCCCAAGCCTGCTTTCCCAAGCCGGCCCCAAGCCGGCCATGTGAGCCAGTTGCAGCAGCGCCTCTGTTGTCCTAGCTCTTGTGTCTGGGGCTTGGGACAAAGTGGGCTGCCCAACTCACAGTGTTCTGGTTGGCTGTCGTGCCTCTAGCAACAGCTCCATGCTTTCCATCGCATGGAGATGGGCAACCTCATCTGCTAGAGCTGGGGTGGGAAAACTAGTGCCAACATCTGGGCCAAATCTGGCCCTCCTGGGGTCAAAATCTGGGAATCTTCAAGTGGCTGCTCCCACCACCGATGGGTGACCTCCCAGCTTTTGAATGCCCCCCCCCCCACATTCTAAAAGGCTGAAATGCCTCTTGTAAGGTGTACTTACTGGCAGTAACAGGTCTAAGCTAAACTATGCTAGTACTTTTTGTGCTTTTGGCCCTGCCCACCAAGAGCTTGAATTTGGCCCTTGGGCTGGAAGAAGTTCCCCAGCCCTTTGCTAGAGTCTGCAGATCCAGCTTTCAGGGGCAGAGGAGCATAAGATATTTAAAAGGTTGGCAACCTTGGGAACAGCAAGTGATAGCAAATCTAACCCATACCTCCAGAGATGTTGGATTACAACTCCAGAATTCCCAAGATTACACAGAACCTGAGTACAGAAGACTTGGTGAAATATAAACCTAATTTTCTTCTCTATTCCGCAACCTGCAGACAAGAGCCAACATCCTCAATGTTACCATTATTTGATGGTTGAATGTATTTTTGTAACTAATCTACCAAAATGTCATGATGTCCTTTAACTACATGAGCTAATATGTCCACTTTAAATCTTAGAGGAAGAAATGCATATAAGACCAGCATCTTCTTACTCTACTAACCTAGTTTTCCATGTATTTCACATTCAGTACATTTTCCTAGTGTGACTCAGGAGGCATAAGCACCTGTTGTCTCCTCGCGATTAGTGCTAGGAAACCTGGAACCTGCCTGTGTATGCAGCCACTCAGAATGTAAGATCAGCACAAATATCAGGTTGTGTCAGGATGGTTTCTTCCCTCACAGCCAGCTCTTGTTCTGCAGTGTTAAATCAGGAATGAAGAAAGATGCACCCCAAAAAAGGCATATCATGTACCATAAGGAGTTGCTGAGA